CATGTTACATGTATTGATTGAATTTTAATATCGTTTCTTATAATCTTTTCTATATATTAATTCAAGACGTGTTGAGCCTAAGTGGCAGACTCGCATACTTCTGGATCTTGTATGGCGAAATTACATGCTTCATTATTTGGCTTGTGTAGATTTTAATTTACTCCCAAACAAAAAATAATTAGGTTCGGAATATCCATAAATAGGTTCATTATCTATGATCATGTTACATGTATTAATTGAATTTTAATATCATTTATTATAATAACTATTGTATTGAAAATGTAAAATTTAAGAATAATTTTTTTAACAAGCACCCGTGTAACACGTGTTTGTAGTACTAATAGTCTTATTATTTGAAATCTGAAACATGACCAACTTATTAATTACATTGTTTGAAATCTGAAACATGATCAAGTCATTGTCATTGGATTACGACTACATGATAATGCTCCTCTACTCAAGCACATGTTAATATGTCTACCGTTTATGTGGCATTCAAACATTGGTAATGTTAATATATTCAAAAAATATATCACCAATGTATGCATGCTACATAAACAATGGACATATTAACATGTGTCCATCGTGTGTAGGTGAGCATTACTGCACGACTACATATATTTTTTTACTCTCAAAATTGGACAAGGCGTGCGCTTTCACAATTTCTATACAGCCATTCAATTTTTTTTATTTTTTTTTTTATTTTTTTTTTTTTTTCTTGGTTTCTCTTAGAAATGCTTTTACAGCCATTCAAGGCTGGTGACGGTGTTAGCTGCTATAACAATTAAACAATATATTTTTTTTTAAAATATATATATATATATAAAACATACTTTTAAGTTGGAATACCACTCTAAAAAGTAACATAAATAAAAATATAATATTTTACAATATAAAAAATCATTTTTATTATTAAAAAACATTTGACAAATCAACTCTCCTATAGAAATTTGTGATAGCCAAGCACAAACCCAGTTACAATCTCGTTTTTATTGATCTTCCATTTCTCATTATCAATGTATTGCATATCCAGTTGGTTATTGCATCAAGCTAATTGATGGATTCTTACTCCATAGACGAACAAAAGCAAGACGATCATACGTTATTCATGTCGATTTTTGGAGCAGAAAAAACATAAATAAATAAAAAATAATTTTATCCATCACAATCAACAATGAAATCAATTTCCAGACATCGTTCACTTTTCTTAAACATACCTATATTTACCGAAACTTCAGGCCGATTTCCACACTATAGCTTGTGTTGTTAAACATCAAAGACAACAGAATGATACTCCGACATAAAATACATTGCAAGTGAACATAACGAACGAGACCGAACAGACTGGGTATGAACAAAGAGAAAGCATAATTGTGTAATATATTTTTTTTCTGATTAATTGACCTGACTTGGCTCCGGTTTCCTCTGGAAGAAAATTGAACCTAAGAGAACAGCAATCCCGGTTATTGCAATAGTAAATAGAAGACGCCTTTTAGAGAACTCCTGTGGCTGCCTCCTTGGAGCCCTTTCGGGTGGCCGAGCGTTCCTACAAAAGATATGATGAAATATCGATTCACCAATTTGATAACAAATACAATCAATGTATTCATGTAGACACAAGTTATCAAGCAAGGAATGTGACTGAAAGTTCATAGGATTAGATACCATGCTTAGGGCATGCTTGTTTATCAAATATTTTACTCACATTTATTTAATACTCAAATTTAACTCAACCCCACTATCTTTGATATTATTCATATAATTAAATAATACAAACCAATCATTCTTACACATCACATCAACTTTAATCACTATTCATTCACTCACATATTTGTAACTACCTATCATTTCGAATCATTTATCTCCTACTTTTATATCAAATCAATTTTAATCATTTTATTTTATATGTTATTTTAATACATTCTTAAAATCCCACTAACAACTAACCATACTACCTAAAATTAACCCCTGGTTAACCAAAATAACTCATTTTGAATGGATTATTTGGTAAACAAGCATGCCCTTAGTTTTTGACTAATTGGATGACGATGGCCATTTCATCTATCTCACTTATCCACGTAAGAAGTTCCAGCCAATAGTTTCAAGTGATAACTATGACCTTGTCATTCAATAATTCGGTTTTTTAGTTATAATGATACTAGTAGGACCCACCAATATTATAACTATATCAACATAGACAACGATCCTAGTGAAACGACACCCACCGCTCAAAATTCGCATCTTAATATCATATATCCGAGCCTAACGTTCAAAGAGGAACCAACTATATTATATTCAAAATATATATGCTTAACTCCTAAAAACAGTGCCACAAAAATTATGGCCTCCTCGACATTATTGAGTCGGCAGGCAAGCACTTCTTGACCCTTCTCCATAGCTTCAACTCGGGATTCTATGTTTGTCATTTGTAAGGTAGGTCGGATCAAGAAAAGAGAAATGTGTAATTTTATTGGTGATAATATAATAGGGACGAACAAGAAGTATAAATATTCTCTAGAGTTCTCCCCAGCAAGAAACTTGCCCAATAGCCTATGCTATTACAAAATGAATCTATTCATACTTATATGGAGTACTAAACTGTAGCTAATATAAAATGGTAATAGGTGATAAAAGGGGTAATAAAATAATAGCATTTTAGGAATAATAAATCAGTGAAATTCTCTAAGATTAAGCACTAAATAAGATATCGTATATCAGGATAAAATATTCTAAATTTGATATCCTTCCATTCTCTCATCTCTATAGATGCAAACTGAAGTAGATGAACACACAACTTAGTAGACTTGATTGCCATTACTTAGATCAAACAGAAAACGAGATAGAAGTAGTTTACATAAGAAGAAAGAAACACATAAACACACGTTCTAGTAAAAGCTCTTTCCTAATATTGCATAACTACTATACCTACATAACCTGAAAGCAGTCCTTCGACATTTCAGTTTCATCCACAGAAAATGAATTGGGGTGGAAAACCGCAAGTACTTTGAGTCTTCGACATATAAAACTATAGAACTTCAGATAACATATCCATGAAATTAATAGTAATTTAGATAAGTTTTATGTTCGCATAAATCGCAAGTACCCTTTACATGTGGAAATAAATTAGAAGTAGCATCACATTCCATTCCACTGAAAGTGCAATTAACAATTTGCAAATAACAGTTAACGGTAAGAATACATACACAGTAAAATTTCATCATACTATGAGGCTTCCTGTTATATAACTGGTGATGCTACTCACCTTGAAGATTCTGCATTGATATTAACAAAACCAGTGCAGCTACTTTCATGGTTATGCCTCTCTCGCAGTCTAATATACTTATGGCACAGATGACATAGCTCCGTGCGGTTCCCACATACTTCCTGAAATTATTAGTGAGATAACAATTACACTTAAAAGGTACAAAATAAAACAAATAATTAAACAAATTTAGATTTAATAATGAATTACCACCTGATGCTCCAATAAATCAATTGCAGGCAGTGGAAACTCACAAAATTCGCATGTCACAATCCTTTGTGGACAGTTTTCTCCTTTGTGAACGTCTAATATGCCACGGTCCATTGTCTCACTGCACAGAGAACAGGACACCTGCCATGTAATTGGAGACAGGAAACATAAAGATCGGAATAATCATTCACTACAGAGAATGGGTAATCTAATTTCAGTGGACCTGCTTTACCCTCTCAATAAATAATATTTTGTCTGCATTTTCTTAGTGCTTGAAGCAGTGATCAGTTTACCTTCCTACTGAAAACCAGTCTCATCACAACAATGGTTTCTTTTTACAAAGCAGTATATATGCAATACCTCATGAATCTATTTTCAGTTAATAACAGATTCAAATGCATAAAAGAATAATCAGAAAGTCAAGCAGGTAAAAGGCACATAAAATTGCAAAGACGCCTAAGTTGACGGTGAGTTTGAGCTTCATGTGGATATATGCTATATGCAGAAAATCAAGTCAATGCGACATTTAGCTATTTGGACTCCTCTGCAAGGACACAAAAACAAAGCCAGATTCCGCTGTCTACCCCAAGAAAGACCCCACATATCTCCAGAAAAGATGGATGTTGGATAAAGAAAAAGTAATCCACACAACAATTGTTTCTAAAAAATGTCTTTACTTTTCACTTAGCATATTTCCACTCTAAGTTCTTACACAACATGGTCAATTATGTGAATCCACTAGCGAAGGTTTCGGGCACCACTCAATAGAAGCTTCCAGAGTTCTCAAAGACTTCGTAAAATAGTTCTTGGAAGGCGGTTCTCAAAGACTTCGTAAAATAGTTCTTGGAAGTTTTTTGCTTGCATCTTAGATAAGAATTATTTTCTTAGCTTTTACGCTGTTTATTCTGGTTGTCCCAAAAGCTCTGTTGTGCAATTTGATGTTACACCAAACTATATTAAGTCAAGGACAAAAAAACATATGGCCATGAAACCCCATCTGCAATAACCAAATATTCCAAGAGAGATTTAGAGCATGTTTGTTTAAAAAATTTTCCAAAAAATTAGATTCTTTTGGTTAACTTAAATTAATTAGAAAAAAGATGGTACGATTAGTTGTTAGTGGGATTTTGAGTTTATGTTAAAATAATGTGAGTGGATATGAAGTGATGGTTAGTTAAAATTAAAAGTAGGAGAGTGATGATTAGTTAAAATTATGTGAGTGGATGAATAGTGAATTAAATTAAATGTGATGTGTAAGAATTATTGAGTGGTATTATCTAATTATATTGATAATATTGAGGATAGTGGAGATGAGTTAAAGTTAGATTTTGAGGTGAATGAATTTTTTGGTGAAAATTCTTGTATACAAACATGAACTTAGAGATAACCAATCTTCTTTCTCAGCACTGTTAAAATGCAAAAGCAAACTGAAAGCATGGCAGAGATAAATGAAAGAACACCGAATGATCACAACATACCATGTTCGCAAAAGAACAATTAAATTTACATTTCATGTGAAAGTGAAACCGTGTCGGTTGTCTCACTGAACAACCATGTTGGAAGTCCTGTGATCGTAAAGTACGTGGAGTCTTGGCAGGAAAACAAACAGAGAAATTGGAACCAATCCTTTGAGGAGTTCTACGAAGTGAGGCAAACGATCAAGACAGGACGAAGGAACAGAGGAAGAGTTTTCTCATCCAATCATTCGTCTTTAGCAGAGATTTTTAGAATTACTCTGATGAAGTCCTATTTTAGACGTGGTTTAGCTTTTCTCAAATTTCTTTGTTTTCTTGATTATTGTTTTGAGTTTTCTTATTAAAGGGGAACTTGTTATTTCAGTCGACATTCGGTTTAAATAAACTATGAAGACTTATGTCTTAAAACCCAAAACGTGCTTAAGTCTTCTAAAGATAATTCCGAATGTAACAAATTTGACTTATCAAGCCAAACAGATAAATTCTCTTGTTCCGTCTTTTCTTTAGCCGTTTCTTGCTTTTCTATGCATCATATTTAATTTTTAGTTGCTACCAATCTTAACCAATATCAGACAATTAATATGGGATTACAATGTATTAAGGTATGGGTGTATGCACAATTTCTCTTAAGGTTCACATCAATGGGAACAAAAGAAACTGATAATCAAGTCATTTAATAGGCAACCACATCATGAAACTTAGCTGAAAGCTTCGTTTTGCTACATAACTAGCAAATTAAATGAAAGATGGAGCACATTTCACCTCAGGTTCAAATAAATTAAAAAAACTTACAAAGGTTGTATTCATAATAAACCAAGATATACATCGAGAAGAACTAGGTTATAAATGATCATTTGGAGAAGGAACTGAGATTCAAGACTCAAAACCGCTGAAAACACTGACGTGGAACTTGATGGTTATTGTTATTATGTCTAACCTTAGTGGGGCCACATGCCCTCAGAAAGGTAAGCCTATACATACACCTCCTATATAGCAGCGTCCCAAAA